AAACTAGAATCTGTAAAGGTGAGGTCTTGTATTTTGAAGGATAAATTCTAGCAATTCAAATTTTTGACAACTTCAATGTATGTTTGGCATGCATTATCTAGACTACATATTTGTTATGCATTAGTAAACTATATGTATTTAGTATCTTTAGTCTAATGACACTATATAATATACTTTATATACTTTATAATATAAAGATATCTTTAGTCTAATATTTCAATAACTTGAAGATCAATACAAGGTTTACACACACACACACACACACACACACACACACACACACAAGTCAAGGATGCATTTAGAAAGATATCAGAACATATTTTTGTCCTAATGACTAAGATCTGCTACTGGCATTTAGTTGGTGAGCCTCAAGGATGCTAAACATTCTGCTCATGTAAGAGCCCCACATGATAAAGAAAGGTCTTGCCCAAAATGCACAGTGCCCCATAGAGAAAGACTCAACTACTGCAAACTCTCCTTTAAATAAGGTTTACACTTTCTGAAGACAGCTTGCCCATTTTGTGAGAAAGTTGGCACAAAAGAAATTACTAAAAGATACATTTACATCAAGATATATGGAATATGCAAGACTAAAGGCTTTAAAAAGGCTTTTGAATTCATTTAGTAGGAATATTAAATTCTTCCAATTTTCCTTGACTTGGAAAGTAGCTGAAATGAGCTAGCCCATTGAATTGATTCACTATGCATTCTAACAGGATATTTCTGAAGTTATAATCCCCATCACGCTTGACTTTAATTCAAATGGAAATAGCTATTATAATACCCTTCATTCCCTAAGAACATGTACCTCGGATTATTGAAAGTCCGAGCGAACTGTCATAAATGCTGAATGACTTTAATGTGTAGTCAGTTTATTTTTGCATTGAAAAATTGGCAATGACAAATGTGGTATGAGTTAGTAGGAAAATAAGAGACTTTTCAGTTAAGCATGTAGGATTAAAGGCTGATTTTACCATTTTCTAAAAGAAAGTTGCTTAATTTCTCAAGCCTTTATTTCTTGCCTCTGAAATAGGCTAGCTAGCCCATATGGATTGAATTTCAAATTCCTCATGAGAACAGTTGATGGACACTAACATAATATTCACACCACTGCTACCAACGATGTAGTAACAGGGCACTTGATTCTTAACTCCTAGTGATCATGAAGGAAAAAGAGAACTTTCACTACTTCCCCTATTTCTTTTTAGTCATGACTCTTAAATATCTTTGGCAAAATTAAGGAAAGAAAGATAATATCATTTCTACATATTAACGAAGTGACCAAGTGAGAAAAGTTAGTTGCTGTGCTCTGTTCATGCCTTATGATGTACCTAATGAGCCACATTAATCTATGATGATGCTAAAGAAATGCCACCTTGTGACTGGGGGCATGTGAAGGACTCTTCCAAGATCTTTCTCAAAGAGGAAAGGTCATGCTGCCCACTAGGCTGTGGGCTTTCTCCATATGTTGATCTGTTCAGAGTTGGGACTTATACCATGGCTGCCAGGGCATCTGGTCATGTAACAGGCACACAAGTATATGTGTGTATCAATTGATTAATCCTAAAAAGCCAAGTCACTTTGCTTTCAGACACCATAAGAAAAAATTCCAAATTTCTAAAGTAATGTGAGTATATTTTAGTTTCCAACCCCTCAAGTCTCTTCCCAGTTTTATTCAAGTATTTGGAAAAATCTCTTTTCTATTTAAATTCTAACATTATCTTAATAAACTTCTAAAAACATTTGCTTTTTTCCTCTGACAGCCACATGTATATATAGCTTGGTCATATATATATATATTTTTTTCAAAGATTTTATTGGGGAATTGGGGGGAGGGGAACAGACAAGTTGCTGTCCTTTTGTTCTTCAGTCTAGTTGTGAAGAACATTGCTTCACTGGTCCATGTTGATATTATCATTGCGCTCTTCCTGGGTGAGGCAGTCACTTGCCAGCCATTGGACTGCCACTCTCAGTGGCTCAAGGCAGCTCACAAAAGCTCACATCAGCTGCTGGGCAGCCCCACCATAGCCTATGCCGTCACTGGCAGAACATGGCAGCCCAGCTCCAGGTCGAGCTGTTGTTCATCATCTTAGCTGTAGGGGGCGCAGTGTCACTGGCCCTCATGTGGGATCTGAACTGGGCCCTGCTGCTCAGAGCTGGCGTCCCAAGCCAACTCCTAACCAACGCGCCACTTGGCCGACCCTTGGTTGTATTTTGAAGAACTATGATTTCTTTCAATACTCCTACACTTCTTGCACGATAACATCCTTCCCATAATGAATGGTCCAAACCTTGGTCTGTTCTTGAGTTTTCACTGCAGCCAAGTGCCAAATGGTATATATCCTACCTCTGCAATATCACTCCCTGTGTCCTCCCTTCCATCTCTGTTATCCTAGTTTAGGCTCTAATCACTTTTGTTTTCATCTATTATAATAATCTCTCAGATTTTAAAATGAAATTTTAGCAAATAACTATTGAGAACTGAATCACGCCAAACACTTACTAAGTACTAGGGATTCCAAGGAATCCATGAAGAGTGTGACAGAAAAACAAAACACACAGGCAAAGGCCGCAGTTCTCTTAGTTTTACAGAACACAGTGTAAAACAAATATTCATTTAACACAGCTTGGAACACACCTCCCCTCTGTTCAGAGGAGAGAGGACAAACATACAGAACTCTCCATACTGACTCCAGCTGTATTCCTGCTTTATTTTCCCCACAGTGTCCTATGTGTGGAGCGGGAATTCCAGAAACCTGAATGATCGCTTTAAATTTTACCATGCTTTTCAAATTTGTAACCTTAAAATCTCTTTGTAGAAAATTATAATAATGGGGACTTTAGATAATCTATTCATAGTCCATCACTTTAGACTATGAGAAGTGATTTTCTCAGCTAGTGACAGACCTGGGACATATATGGAGCTCTGGTTTTCCACCCCAGGACTCTTACCCCTGCATCAGGTACCTCCAATGTCAGGGGCAGGGAGGTGAACCAGAGATTCCATTTAAATTGCCCAACAGCTGTGACGTTCCATGTCTTAAGGTACAGTAAGGAGGTAGAGAAAATGCAGAGACTCCTCTAGTTAGAAGCCACTGGTGCTAGTTCCCATTCTCTGGTGTATTAAAATGACTTCAAAGGGGAGAGGAACAGGAATGAGGATCATATTAAAAGTGTGAATGGGCATCTTAGGAAGTAAACAAGAATAAAGCTGTAGGTCGGGTGAGGGTCAGGCCTCATGCCAGTGTTAACTACTAGGGCTAATTCACTGGGTATTTCTCTTTTGGAGGCATTCCCCCCTTGGGTGCCCATCTTCCTTTGTCCAAAGGCCTTAAGTATTATAGTGATCAGCCCCCCTTCTCACTGTAATGATCGACCACATACAAGATGGATTTCATAACACCTCTGCGGCATTAAGGAATCAAACCTAGCTTTCTTATTCTTTTATCCATAAAGCAAGTAGTGTGGCCCTTCAGACCCTTTCAAAAACATTTTTATGCAAGTGAAAAAAAAAAAAAAGAAACCATGGGAAAAA